AGGACAGACCTCAAGCGTTGGTTATGTTGGATATCCTTCCCCCATACCAAAATGTCATCTGCGATGCATTCAACTCCATCAAGTCCTTCGAGCAGTGTTGTCATAACTTTCTGGAAAACCTCTGGAGCTGACGAAATGCCAAATGGAAGTCTCTTAAAGCGATACCTTCCAAATGGAGTATTGAAGGTGCACAATGTGGAACTGCTATCATCAAGCTCTATTTGCCAGAAACCAGAACTGGCATCAAGGGTAGAAAATACCGGGCCTTTGGAAGTCGCGATACAACCTCTTCAACAGTTGGCAGTGGGTAGTGCTCACGTCGGATGGCTCGATTTAAATCACGAGGATCAATGCATATTTTAACTTGTTGGGTTTAACGACAGTTACCATACTGTTTACCCAACTGGTTGGCTCAGACTGTTTTTCAATCACCCCGAGATCTACCATCCGTTCCAATTCCTTTAGTATTCTGTGGCGCAATGCAGCAGGTACTTTTCTTGGTGGATGAATGACTGGCTTTATATTAGGATCTACTTCAATGTGATGTTTTCCAACTGACTGAATGCAACCAAGACCAGAAAATAAGTCTGGATAATGATTGAGAATGTCATCGCCACTTTCGTTGTCACCATCAGATCGATGCAAATTCATGATTCTTTCAATCCCAATTCCAAACAGGTTTTCCTGCCCAGCAGTGATGGAGCATCTTCATCTATTATCTGAAATGTGATTTGATAGAACTTGTTCTTTCGCTGACATTCAAATCTTGTTTTTCCAACTGGAGTGATTTTGTGCCCTGAGTAACTTACCAATCTGGCATTCGATGCAAAATCGGGAAAATGTTATTTTGAGCGATGTTATTTTGAACAATGCTGTTGTAAACATTGCGTGACATGACATTGCACTGTGCGCCAGTGTCAAGTTTAACTTCAATAGCTTTGTTGTTTATTATAATATTTTCGGTCCAGTCGTCGTCGCTAGAATTTTCCACCATTCCGATGAAAAAATCATCCATCTCATCTTGGGTATCAACTTGGAATGCTTGCTTATTCACTGGCACTAATCTCGATCGACAAACTCGAGCAAAATGGTTTTCCTTTCGACAGTTATTACAAATCTTGCCAAAAGCTGGACAGGCCTTTTGATAACTAGAATGTTCTCCACCGCAATTTCCACACTTCGTTGCACGTAGCCATAGTTTGACTGCTGGGTTGACTGATGTTGTTTTGAATACAACCTTGGATTTAGCGATTTACTCGGGTAAGTAAATTTAGATCTTTGCAGTGCAGGGATTGTCGTTGTCATCGTTAAATTCTTTCAACTCTCTTGCACTTGCTTCACTCGCACGACATATATCGATAGCTTTTGTAAGGATAGGTCCGCTTCACGAAGTAATCTTGCTCGTAGTTGATCACTTCTGATTCCTCCGACTATTCTGTCACGTATAAGACTATCAGTCAATAACTAAATTCGCAATGTTTAGCTTTGTTTCTTAAATCGGTAGCAAAAGCATCGATTGTCTCAGTTGTCCTTGTGATCGTGTGAAAAATTGATGGCGTAGAAACGTTAAATTCTTTCGTGGTTCACAGTACTGTTTGAATTTGTCTTTTAAGATATCGATTTTGTGTTCATCACCTTCCTTAGCAAAGTCGAAGGCGTTAAATACGGCACGAGCTTCTTCGCCGGCCACGTGTAGGAACGTGGCACACTGGACTTTCTCGCTTTTCTCGCCAATTTCGCTCGCAATGAGGAAAAGTTCGAAGCTTTGAATCCACTTTCGCCAATTTTCGGCTAAGTTTCCTTCCAGGCAAAGTTCACCTGGAGGCTTTAATTGTTCCATTTTGTTCAAAAAAATCCATACCTGACACCATGTTATGTACTCGACATTCAGTGTAAAAAGATGTATATTTCATATCAGAAATCATTTATATACACATATAAAATTACGTCATTGAATAATAATTATACCTAACTAATTATTCCAAAGTTCAACACCTACCTACTACTACCTACTACCTACCACATACCCTACTACCTACCTACCTACCTACTACCTACTACCTACCTACCTACCTACACCTGCCTAACTACCTACCTACATACCTACATCCTACCGACGACGACCTACCTAACTACCGACTTACCTACCTACCACTACTTACCTACCTACCTACACCTACTACTATACCTACTACCTACCTACTACCTACTACCTACCTACCTACCTACCTAATACTACCTACTACCTACCAAACTACCTACCTACCTATACCTACCTATACCTACCTAACACTACCTATACTGCTACCCTACTACTACCTACTACTACTACTACTACCTACCTAACTACCTACTACCTATACCTACCTACCTACCTAATAACTACATACTACCTACCTACCTACCTACCTACCTACTATACTACCTACCTACTACCTACTACCTAACTACCTACCTACTGCCTACTACTACCTACCTACCTACCTATACTACCTAACTACTACCTACTACCTACCTACTACCTGCTACCTACCTACCTACCTACCTACCTACCTACTTGCCTACCTAAACGAAAGAAAGTACAACGACGTTCGTACTGCACTCAGGTGAGTGTGCACCACTGCATGCATGTGTACTACTAGGATTACAATGCTATCTCTCAAATGCTATCGAGCGAGTGAAAATGTGTGATTTCGGTTATATATCCGAATTTAAGTTATTTATATCAACGCCGGTATTGCAAAACTTAATTGTAGACGTGAAGAAGCATGTAAGAAACTTTTTAATCAAATAATAAACACTCGTAATCACAAGTTCGCGTATTTTTTGTCTCCCAAGCAAGAAACAAAGTATGGTCGAGGCGAATTCGCCTTTCACTGACTACAAGCAAAAACAAATAGACTTTCAAATATTTTATTCGTCGCCCGTTTTTATGCCGAAATTATGTTTTTAATGCGCAAATTATGAATAGGCTTTCTTTAAACTAATTAACTACATGGTTTAAATATTTTCCTATTTTAATTATTTTTATATTGTGTAGTTTATATATTTTTATCTAGTTTTGCACGCAATTCAGCTTCACAGCTGCAATGTGTAACACTTTTAATAATAATATAATAGACAATGTATAAGCAACTTTATTTCTTCTTTCCAAATTCTCGTGGTCGTATCTTCATCGATGTTGATTTCAGAGAATAATAATCCTTTCCAATTTTCCCAATTGACTCATCAGCATACGATGTGTGTGCGCCATAATAATAAAACATTCAAATTGTAATGATGAAGCAATACACCAGCCACTTTGTATCCCGCACAGTTATATTTCCAAACATCATTGTCAGAATCATTGGTGCTGAAAGCCCACGTTATGATTTTCAACGAGTCTCCTGCTGTACCTTAGCAAAAGTATATAATTAAAGTAAATTAAATAACAAATCAAATTACAAATAATGTAAATACACATAATTATGCTACGCAAATTTACGGTGTCATGTGAAATTGTGATTTGAAGATTTGCTTTCGCAATGTCGTGTTTACTGTCTCATCCGTCATGGAAAAGATGCTGTACGGATACTAAACAGTAATCTTTATGGCATCAAGTAGAATGTTGTGATGTTTGGAAAAAGCGAAGGCTTGATGATGATTACTGATAGTCGTAGGATATATATTGTTAATCAAAGATAAAATAAAAGATTTTGTGGTTTGATTAAATCTATCCGTAATAGCAGGGATCTTAAAGGCAGATTTTCCCTCTAGAATTTATCAGTTTCATCTTTTTGGATACGAAAAATGCAATCTAATATTCACACATTATTTGGAAGTACATATTAATTCTTTGAAAATTCTTCTACACCAAAATTAAGCAAATACAGTAGGAGGCAAAAGTTTGAGTCCAGTGCTGTATTTCTTTGTTTCAGCAGCATATATTAATATTCTACAGAAAACCTTACCGATAAGTGAACTAGAAAAAAGTAAACAAGTAAACAGAAAAATACATGCTGTACAACAATATGAGATGTTATGATATTCATTTTTACGTATTTTAATGTGCAAACATGCATTTACATGTCATGTGCTTAGTTCCCCTTTTTTGCTCTTGAATGACCTTTATTCTTGCTCGCATAGATTCCATAGGTTTTTTAATGTCACGTTCAATACCTTGCGATTCGTTGACACTTGCTCAAGTCAGCTGGCTGGCGGGTCTGGCCTCGCCCTCTTCCGGTTAAAAGGTTACAAGTGCTCCATAGGTTTTAGATCTGGAATATGAGGTGGAAAGCCATGACAACGAGATACCAGAATGAGTTTGCTTCTAAACGATTTCTGGACATAGAAGATGTGCATGTGCTTAGGGTTATCATGTAGTTAGACGTGGATCATCTTTGTACAGATGAAATTCCATGTCTTGAAGAATTGGATGATACTTTTTTAATACACTGTTAATTTTAAAGTGTTAAATAGCACCACCGTAGGTGCCAAATCAACACATGGTGTTAAATACAAAGTGCTATTTTGGCACCAACTTCGGTCTAATTTAACACACCAAATCTGGGATTGGCGCTAAAGTGCCAATAGACACATAATTACCAGCACCATTGCAGGTGCAAAATAAACTCTTTTGCCGACGAAAGTGTTAAAATAACGCCATATAGGGAGTTAAGTATGGGGTGTCAAATAACACCAAATGGCGGATGGGCGGGAATGAGCACGTTTGATTTTATTTAAGTTATTGAAAAATAAACTTGTATTTCGAATGAGATGATTTGGAACAAAAAATTCCGTGCTTTTCGCACAACTATTCATCTAAAAGAAGACATGGAAATTCAGCTTGTTGCTATGAATACGTCAGGTCAGATACGTTTCTATATAAAAAACCCCCGATACATCGATAGTGATCGGTGATCCATTGTCCTTTTTATTTTATCAAACGACTAATTAACGACTAGTTATTTTGTGCTATGTAATGATTGCTACAAGTAAATATTTCGCAATCGCGTATAGGCATATGTATGTCCATATAAGGAACGAAATATGACACGTGTCAGCGCTTGTATGCAAATTTTTTGAGCGCGTCGTTTGAAAACTCTTTTGATCGTATATTCATCGAGATGTTTATGCTGCTGTGTTAAAAAGACGTTTTGAGCGTATTTACTCGACTATTTTGGTACTTCTAAATATCCTAAACAACAACGGGCTCCCATAAGGAAATTTCAAGGCAATTGGTTGTGGTATTATCTCAGAAATATCTTGGTAAGTGTTTGAATTTGATCAAATAAGACATACAGTATCCATGTTCGCTCAAAGTCAAACGGCCAAATCGCTGAACAAACAAATGTTTTTTTATTCTAGAGAAGCCAAATGACGTATTCTACTTTACTGCGATCTCTTCAGCAAGTTGTGGTCAAAGAAAATATCATTGCAATAATAGGTATCTATTCATATTTACTTTACCAGTTTACCGTAATTTAGATGCGTCTTCGCTTGTCTCATATTATTGACATAATTTAGCGATATTTTATCCTATATCAACAATTGTCCGTGCTCTATTTTGATATATTAACGATAATCCTTGCTCTATTTTGATAAATTTGATCTCAGAGAGCAAGTTATTTGTTTAAAATAATTGCCTGTGTATGACTTTTGATAAATTATACTGTAAGAAATATAATTTCCTACAGGTTACCTGAGAGTCCCATTTTAGCTTGTCATTTTTCAAATTCACATTTATATTTTAGTCAAATAACAAAGTATGTTTCCATAATTTAGTAAAATCATTTTCTTTTGCAAGTAAGGTTTGTAACTGAACACATTCTATTATTTTGTTGCAGGTAAAGGCAGAATTTGGCAGTAAAATGTGCAAGAACTATTAGTCCATGGTATGGTTGGCAAATTTCAATCTATCAAGAGTTGTCAAGAATGCCAAATACTGTG